AGAGCGGGGACAAACAGCAACACAACAAGGTAAAGGCTTAAAAGCTCTCTCAATAGATGTATTAAAAAGAGAGAAGACCATTATTACAAGGAAGGCTGGCTTGCAAGTGGGGTTGCCAGACATTTATTTGCTGTATATGAAGAGTTAAATAATATTTTTGAACTATCTGAAGTCTTAGAGAGCTATCCCAGGACAGATGCTCCAACTCACCTTCAGCTTTCCTGGCCCATTGCCTTAGTGGCATATCAGGTACTCAAGACAACAGCTTTTTCCACAGCTGGCAGGGAGAGAAGTAAGTTACAAGCATAAACGAATTTATCCAATTGCACTTATTGAAGAAAGCGAATCACACACAGAAAACTGCGATATATTCGCCAAAATTAATCTATTTAAGTGAGGACCCAAATTAAACATGTATAACAACATCGTGGGCCTAACAAAGATAAAGTAAACTATTAATAAAATTATTTCTGAGAGCAGAGAAGACGCAAAGAAGTCTAGACTTAAGTGAATAAATCTTAGTAAGAGTTTTTAAACATAGCACTTTGTATGGTAGCTCCTTTTTTGCTGCTTTAATCACTAATACAGCATTAGAACAGACAGTTCCTCCCTTCCCTGAATACAACCACATTGGTTACAGTACCCGCCAGAGTTGCAATATATACTCTATTTCAGTCCTGTTTTTATCTATTACAAATTATAGTACATTCTGAACTTTCCTACAAAAGCTACCACCGCCGCTCAGAGAGACTTAACAGTCATGAACGGATAAAAGAGTGAAAACATATCACAGTTCTGATTAAAGGGAGTTTTCAATCTGCATAAAGAATTTACAGTCTCTTTCTTTCATAAATACATTAAAGTTGGGGCTTCAAATTTATTCAGGCTACAATGATTTGTTTTGGGGGAGTTTTCATTTTAGCATGAACTAAAGACAAAAACACTATTTAGTGTTGTACACCCTGAAATACCGCTTTAATTCTTTGTCCTTATACTTCATGTAGACTGTTGCTGTTGAAGCAAAGGAAAGGCTGCCATCAATCATCACTGATGAATACTTCTTGTAAAGGTATTTAAAATACCTTAAGGATACAGACAGGCACCAAGAGGGATCATCAGATCCAAGAAGCCATTTAAATGTGGAAACAGGACAGAGCTCCAAATGAGCAACTTGAAACATTCCATTTAACACCTCATTATCTGCAGGAACAAAATACATTTGCTACTCCAGCCTTAGGATGTGATTTCACATATGAAATACGAGGAGGAAAACCATGAAGCAGAAATATAGTTAGTAAACACAGTAACATTTACTAATTTAATGGGTTTCTTTTGTTTCAACAGTGTCTAAGTCCAATTTAGGAATTTACCTCACTTGAAAGTACTTCTAATAATCCCAAATTGAAAGTAACTGTTACCTTCTGAGGTATGCACTTTGGAAGGAGATTGCGCTCTAGGCACCAGCTTCATTTTCACTTAGAATCGAGTTAATCTTATCACTCAGCATGGAGCAAGCAACACTTTCTTGTCCATAAATCTTTCTGTCGTACTAACATAAATGGACTACCTAAGCCACGTTCATCACAGAGGTTTCCCAACCCAATCAATACTATACAGAGTATCAAATGAACTGTCTGTTCTGGGGTCAATATATCACATTTTAGTTGTAACTCTAACTTCTTTTGTCATAAAAATCCTACAATGAATGACTACGGAGCTACAAAACACTTTTTATTGAAATACTGTTTAAAAATTTCTAGTCAATTTCCCCCCTTAATTTCCCAGGGTAATAAAAAAGATTTTACAGCCTCCTCTAGATAGGAAAAGAAGTCCAAAGCAGTTAATCAACTTATGGTTTCCCCCTCCCTTTTTTTCCTTTACTGCTGTACAGCATTCATATTCATCAGCAGAGGAACAGCACACATGCATGCATTAAATTGTCAAGGACAGGTCAGCAGCCCCAAGACTGAAGGGAAAACCTCATGCCATGCAAGTAACCAACAAGAAAGGGGTACACATCCTACTCAGTCCCCTCCAGATGCTGTGAGAAACTCACACTGGCAACCTTGATGCTTTCAGTAAGATGAAGATGGTAAGTCTAACTTCCCAGGACAGCCTTTCTATCTTACTACTGTCAAGGACCCTAGTAAGGACAATGCCCTGCTGGACAAAGCCAGAATTTCTGTTCCCATCACTCTTCCTCTATTCTTACTGGTCTACGAAGAGGTCAACTGTGGGCAGGACACTCCTGCCCTCCAGGCTTGTCCCAATCCTCCTTGTTTGACTCTAACATAGCTCAAGAGGCACTCCTACATGCTACCAGTTCCTCCCCTTTATATTCATTGAGTGGGGCCTCCTTTCGCAGTCCACAAGGTTTAGTACTTATCCTCTCATACCGAAAGACTGTACTAGCATCACTCATCTTCCCCTGGAGGAAGGATTCCAGCAAGTGATGAAGCAGTGAACGTGGCTTAGACACAAGACCGACACATGCCAAAATGTTTCATGTTGAGCCAATTGCAGCAGCGGGAGGAAAAACAGCCTCCTCGACTTCACTGCTTTTCCCCAGCTTCATAAAGGTGTTTGGGGGCAGTCACTATATGACGTTAGTTTCATCCCTTTCACAAAATGAGGAAAAAAAACAGCAACAGGAACCCAGTAAAAACCTCATCTAAGTAAAGGGAGTGAGAAGAAATAAAAGCAGCAGGAGAAACAAGATGTTCCCTACTCTCTATAACCACAGTAGGGTCCAGTGCACAATATCAAGCTCCACATGCACACACAAGGAAACACAATCTGAAAAATATCTTAGTGTTTGACGAAATGAGTTTGGTAGAAATAGACAGCAACAACTGACACTAAACAGGAAAGATATGAAAGTCAAATTTTCTCTCCACTACATAAAAAATTGAAAAAGATTCATCCATTAAGGAAATAAGCACAGCATTCAAATCAGTACTTAGTTCTTGGCAATTACCCCGGCCAGCAAGAGGGGAAGGGGAGGGAAGGGGCAGGGAAGAAAAATCCCATTTGTTTCCTGGAGTCAGATAAATTATTTCTAAGTGTCATCAAGGAAAGAAACAAGAGTGTTTCTTCATTCCAGTATGTTTGTAGATCAGATGAAGTGATAATAAAACAGCAGAACATATTTATAATAGACCCATTAGAGGAATTTTTCCTTTTCCCAATACAAATATCCTTAACCATTTTAAGGTGGTTTCCACCTATCTCCCTTTAGCAGTTTGCAGGAAAACAGCTGATGGAAAATACAATGGGAGTAGTTAGGAAAAAGGAAGGAAAGATTTCGGCTGAGACTTTTTTCCCAAGCAGCATAGAAGGCCCCCAACTCCTAACTTCTTTAGTCAACTTTTAAAAATATCAACTATGCGCACTCCTTCGGCCTTCCACCCCACCATCCACAATAAGGGAGAAAGAAAGAAGAACAGAATTAGCACGCTACTATTCAAGAAACAATTAAGCTCACTCTTTAAATAAATGACATCAATAATTTGACATATCACCATGTGACTCCCCATGCAAAGATACTGTGCAAATTACACATTTAACAAAATTCATAGCCTTACCAGTCAATAATGATTCTTGTTTCATTTGTGCTCCATGAAGTACTTTGATCAAACGGACAGATGTAGCAATCAGACCCAAGTTCCTATTGTTAAAGTTAAAAGAAAAAAATCTTTGCATTCCTTCTTATAAACTATCAGTTTTGATTTCGTTCAAAAAATTTGTAGATTTTTTTTTTTTTAAATATCTAAACGTCACACACTTCAAACCAAAACCAAATATACACGATTTTCTTTTCATTTACAACTTCTGATCACTCAGGACATTTAATCCCTAAACAAGCTGTGGATTTGCAACAGTTTAAAACCAACACAAATACATGGCTGATTTCTAGCTGGCTCAAAGCACCCAATGCGGTATTTAAAGCAGCATAAGCAGATATGTTGCTACAAAGCCAAAACAGTACCTGATGACTGACCACAAGGTCATTCATGCTACAATCATAGTCAGAGCCTTCTATACACCCACCTGCCCCCTTCTGCAACCTCAGGGAAGTATAGTTATTAGCATCCAGCTTCCTAAAGGCATAAGGCTATGCCAATTGCCTAGTGAGGGTAACTACGCTGCACAGGTGCAACCACTGCAGACTTTATTTTGTATTCAGAAGCAGGTTGTATATCTGAACTCCATTAGAAAGTAAAAATTAGACCAAGAACTTGGTCATATTTGTCATGCTACTGAAAAGGGTAATCCTATCAAAACTCCTAGCTATGCAGTTTTGCTCCTTCTCTTTTGCCAACACTAGTGACCATGGGGCTACAGTAAGCTACAACAGCAAACTCAGTCTAGCTGAACACCCACTTAGCAAACACGTTAATAAACAAATGCATACGTATTCTGTCAGAGCAGTTCTCCAACCCACCGCACAACATGATCACGAATGCTAGCGCTGGCAGGAACGAACAGATAGGAGCCTGAACTTACATTTAACTTCTTCTACAACTAAAGCCTTCTAACAAGTAGTCCTGCCTCTTTAGTAGTCTTCTCTTAAGAGAATTCTGCCTCCAAACAAACGCTGGAACTTTGTCACACGCCAGAATCCAATTTCATTCAGGAAACCAGATTTGAAAAATCTCAAGAAACCAGATTTTACAATTGTATTCCATAATAATTCTTCATGTCCTAACAAACCCGCAACAGCTTTCTTTCCTTTTCTTTTTTGTTTTTGTTTTCAATTGCAGGCCTATTAATACTGCCAGGTTTTCAGTAATTACAGCTAGTTATATCCTAAGCATCCCCATAATCTTGTAACAGACGGGCTCACTTAAGGAGCCAGACTAACTCCTTATTACCTATTAATAATCAGTCTACCTGTACACATATCAAGGTTGATTTGCACAATTCTATATAGTATACTTTGCCATGAGTGCTAGATAGATCTATATATGTGTTAAAAAATGCTAATCCTGCAACTGAAAATTAAAGCTGTTTATTTATTCATTACATTATCAGAAAAAGAAGAAGAATTAGACTAGTAAAAAGGGTAGATCTACAGTCCAACTTCTGAAAGCCTTGTATCACCCGCAAAAATCAACCCATACTAAGGACACAAACGCTTCCTTCCATTATTCAGCAATGCCCCAAACTGACCTACAAATAGGTCAGCTATTTTTGTTACTTGCATATTTTTGTTTCTAGGGATTGAGTCAAGCAGGAAATACCAGTTAATAAATCAACTAACGCAGCAGTGTAAAATAAGAGTCTCTATATAGAAACACAAACATCAGAAGGTTTTATTTTTGTGGGGGTTAAAATGGATCCTAACTATACCTCATGACATGTTGATTCTTGGCACACTCGATGCAAGCATTCCTCAGACATCTGAAACACTCTGCTACGAGCAGCAGACAAGTGTCTACATCTACCGATTCACAGGACTCCTTGTACGCCTGTTCGATTTCACTTGAGGCTTTCATCAGGATTTCCAGGAGATTCTGAAACAGACTTTCTTCTGCCATTTCTCTGAAACATAGTAAGAAAAAAAGTTCCACCATCAAAAAGAATCTTCATGTTAATATTAAATAAGAAAAGGTATAACTGACATAACACGATATTTCTGTAATAACCTCTAACCATCCTTCACATGCAAGGCCTTTCAAGTAAAAGGGCCAAAAGGGCTGTGATGGAGCTGTCGGGTGTTTCTCACAGCTTTCCAAAGCCACTCTGGAATCTTAAAAGGAAGTCTCCCTAGCGCAAATAGCTAGCACGACTACAGATGACACTGCATGTTCTTGCAAGAATTAGAATTGGTTTACTTAATGACCACAGTTTATGTCTAGCATTAGATAATTCAGAAGCAGCTAGCAGAAGCTTCATTATAGTCTGCCACAGCTTTCACACTGAGGAAGAGATGTCATGCAGAAAGCAAGGAGCTGCACTAACCATCATTCTGAAGTGTGTGAATCAAGGCCAAGGGAGAAAGAGGACTGTTGTCTATTTTAGCAGGCAACTACCCCAACACAAAAAGCATTATGCCACTTTTTAGTGTATCAAGACTTAACAAAGTAACAGTACAAAATCATAAGCACAAAGATCGATACTAAATGAATGGATCACAGAGCTGACACTGAAGTACTGCACTGAACACTTAAGATTCACCAGATTCACTAGAACAGGTGTGCACATCTGCAGATGATCTGCCACACAGATGTGCACTATGTTTCCAAACTATAGCTTCACATACTCTCCACTGGTAATATATTCACAAAGGAGATATGGGCAACAGATTAAAACCATTGGTTAACTCAGATTTGACATAACATGCTGGGGAAAAAAAGCCACACCACAGAGTTTTTATGGCATTGCTATAGGAATGCACAATAAATTTACTCATCCAATACTTCTGACCAGAGTCAAACAAAAGAAAAATCCAGATGCAGCTTCCTTGTCCCTTAAACAGACTTACTGCGTACTCAAGACCAAACAGGAAAGTTAGGTTTGAAGTTTTAAGAGAGAAAGTTGAGAAATATCTCCTAAGCTAAGAACAGAAGAAAATGAGATGAAATGGAAAGTAATATTAAACCAAGTATTTTCGCACAGAAAAGTCTTCCCTAACGGAGGCTTTAAAATTTCTGGATCAAACATTAGTAGATGATACAGTATTACTGGTGTGCTGCTGTTGCCTCAAATATCCAGACATTTGCACAATTAGAAAGTCTTCCTACCCTTTACCAAAAGTGATCACATGTCCATCAAATCAAACCATGTACAAACAGATCATTCAATTACTACATTAGATTTCAGATCTCCAGGAAATATCATTTTATTCTACAATCTCACCATATTATAGACTAAGACAAATACCCTTACAAAAATCCAGCCACATAAAAAATAAGCCACCAGTCAGAACTAGCTACAGGGGGCAGGGGGGATACTTTTTGAGAGACATCATACTGAGGACAGAAGCAAAACTAAGTGGCACAAGAAACACAAAATACAGACGTGGCCCTCAGTCATAAAGAAAACACAATGGCGCTTACATAACTGGAAACAAGATTTGGAGTTTGCTTTTTTCTTGAGAATAGACATTCATGTGACTTGAATCTTCCACCTACAAGAAGTGGTGGAGCTGCTGCCATTTCACACACAGGTATGCAAGCAAAAAGAAGATTTGATAGCTGATGAACCACAGTATACGTGGCAAATACATCCACTCGTATACAGACACAAATTCTTCTAAACATGAGAAGAGCTACAGTTCTGTAAAGGAACACCCAACTGGGCTCGGTTTCCTCCACACAGAAGCCATGTTTGCTCTACTGAATCAAGATGCCACATGGAACCATCACCTGTTAGTCATCCGAGTTAAATACAACACTGATATTACTCTAAAATCTTTCAGCCTGATGGCAGTTTCCTTTATTTTTACCTATGCAATGAGTTGGACTATCACATGGAACTGTTTGGTCATTTCCTGACTCCAAATTACAGAAATCAGTGGTCGATGCAAAATATGTACTAGTATACAACATTCAATTATTTTAAATTGGTAAAACAGAAAGGAAAAAAAAAAACACAAGGACTTTTATTTGTGTTCTAGTGACTCCTACAATTAAAATAAACACCTTAAAGGCATTTCAACCCCGGAAGAGTAATTCTTGTTACAGAGTTATGCTGTAGACAAGTAGTTTTAACTGGATATCAGATCAGAAAAAGAATCAAGTTAGGACAAATTTTACCCTAAGACTGAAAGGAAAAAACTAAAGCGTGTAGAGATTTGCACTGAAAAATCTTCAGTAAAATAAGAAGATGAAGTCTTTTGTCTGTTCTAACAGAGCAAACAAGATGTACACAACGAAATGCCTGTCTTCACTGTGAATGTGAATTTTTTGATATCAGCAAGGGTAGACAGAACTCCAGATCTCTCCAATTTTGTTCACTGTGAAGGAAAAAGAACATGCTCAAACGAGATTTTTCTGGGTGGAAGTCAAATCTCTTCCTACAATGGGAAAGAAAAACCTAAGTGAACAAGCAGAAGTTATCCTAACAGAAAGGCGTACGACTTAAAAGGTTGTTTGGTACAGTATGATTTTCTTTAGAGAAAGCTGACATGAGACTCTTGTACTTAAACATTTATATAGCATTGCAATTTGAGTGTGTGCTTCAAAGGCATTAAATAAGAGTGACTGCAGTTAACTGTTCTGCAGCATTGCTAACGTTAATTTTTTAAAAACAATCTTCTTTTCTGTGTTATGTCAAAGATTCACCTACAGTTAAAACCATCAGCTACAATTACTTAAATCATATTTTTGAAAAGGAAAGCACTCTCCTCCCATAGCCTTTTTTCCAAATCTTTAAATATTAATCCATAAAACTAGCGAAGGAGGAGATTGTTTCATAGCTTTTAGATGAGGAAATATGTTCTGTTGTAAATAGGCCTTGAAATTCATTCAAAATTGTTCTGTGGATTTTCCAAAACCTTTATTTCCTGTTTTCTTGCGATTTCAAATATCGAGTGTCCAGTGGGTTGTGTCTTCCGGTTCAATAGCAACAACAGTATTCTCCAGGGTTGGCACACTTATGAAGTTGCTCTCACGTGCATTTTGTCATGGCCACTAGCATATAAACTCACATCGTAACCTCTCCTCTCTTGAAGGGCGATTAAACAGCGTCTCTCTTCCACCAGCCCACTTGTACTTACAAAACTTGGTTATTTTGAGGGATATAAGCCTTCTGTCAACCACAGTTGCAGATGGAGGGAGGCAAGAAACAGAGGCAGAGAAAGCATCACAATGCAAGCCCAAAACCTGCACAGGTCTTCTCTGCCCACAGAAAGAAAGGAAAACTAAGCTTTTTAATCCTTGTACACAGAAAGATCACAATGGGATATTTATTAGTATATCCTCAACTTCTAAATATGTATTTAATTAACAAAATAGCATAAAACTTTGTTACTTTTTTTAAACTCCCCATACTAACTTTGAAAGTTCAATTTCTTCTTTCTTTACCTCTAGCAATCTCAGGCATTAGAAACTCCAAGCAGCAAGTGTTAAGAGAAGTGCACGGGAACTTCAAACCAATCTACCCAGTCTCCCACCTTCCAGAAAGGGCTAAAACCATTCCTGTAAGCACAATCACGTGGCTGAACCTTTGCACGCCCAAGAAACCTTGCTAAAGCCAAGCTGTGTGGCGTTACCAAGGCCCACTCCGACTGTGCGGGCACAAGAACGTTCTGCACTGACCGTTTGCTTTGTACGGTAAAAACGCATGCTTCCTGTTCACCTCTTGAAGATACTAAGAAGGCGGCACATCCACCTTTCTCTCTGGTTTTAGCAGCTGCAGCCTCTTCTGCTGCTCAAACCTACAGCCGTTCAAGGCCTACAGAAACCACCCTCTCCCCAAAGGCCTTGCTCACGTTTGGGCTCCGCTCACTACCGCAGCTGTGCTGTACGAAACCATCACCTGCAAAGGACTCGGGTGGCTGCCTCTTACCCATTTCTAGCCATGCTGTACTAGCCTGCACAGGGCCCAGGACTGCACTTTGCCCCACAGCAGCTACTCCTACAGCAAAAGCCCAGTTAAAGGGACGTGCCTAAAAGGGCAACTGTTGTCACCTGCCCTTGGCTCACAGAGGGAAGGAGCAGAGGCATCCGAGAGACAGAAAGCTTTCCTGTTTCCTCTCTTCCCCGGGGCCGGTACGAAAGCAGGGACAAGCCCTGGGCTGCCGGCCCCCGAGGAGCAGAGAGTTTACCACAAGCAGGAGCCGCCCCCGGGGCCAACCCCCACCGCCCGTGAGAAAAGCCCGCGGGGCAACAAGCTATAACGAGGAGGAGAAAAGGCGCCCAGCCACGAGCTGCGCCACCCCCGGCTGAACACCCTCAGAGAGCCCCTCTCAGTGCGCATCCCCCCCTCCCCCCGAGGAAACTTAGGCAACACCGAGTGCAAAAAACCGAGCTTCGAGCCGAGGCAAACCGCCTCCCCCAACCCCGGTAGGCAGCGGCGCCCGCCCCGCAGGGACCACCCGCGGCCGGAGCTCCCTCCTCCGCCCCCCGTGGCTGC